CTCCCCACCATCACAGACATCTACACCTCCAGATGCAGGAAGAGGGCCACCTGCATCATGAAGGACCCCACTCACCCAGCACACACACTGTTTGCCCCACTCCCCTCAGGAAGGAGGTTAAGGAGCATTAAGTGTAGAACCACTAGACTGAGGAACAGCTTCTACCCTGAGGCTGTTAGACTCATGAATCTCTAACTAGAATAATCACTGTGAAAAACCATATCATGTTGCTGCTGATCTGTTTCATGTTGCTGCTGATCTGTTTCAATGTTGATGTGTTCATGCGTGCTCATCTGCTCACACAGACTCATGTTCATGTTTGTGCTGATGTTCAATGTTTTATGTTATGAGTGCTTAGTGTATATTTAGTTGATGTTTTTCTTAGTTCATATCTTAGATGTTATTACTGTTTTTCTTATACATTTTATTTTTGGATGTAACTGGGACCCCGTGTACATAATTTCGCTCCACCACATGTACCACATGAGGTGCGAATGACAATAAAGAAACTCTGACTCTGACTCTGATACATCCTGGACAGGTCACAAATCCATCACAGGGTTACATAGAGACAAACGAGACAAATAACCATTCACTCTCTCACTCACACCTTGGGACAATTTAGTTACCAATCAGCCTAAAATGCATGTTTTTGGTCTGTAGGAGGAAGCTGGAGTACCAAGAGAAAACCCACGCATACACGGAAAGAACATCCATCCATCCATCCATCCATCCATTATCTTTACCCGTTTATTCCATTTTGGGTCACGGGGGTCGCTGGTGCCCATGTCCAGCAATCACTGTGCGAGGGGCGGGGTACACCCTGGACAGGTCGTAAGTCCATCACAGGGCCACATAGAGACAAACGAGACAAACAACCATTTACTCTCTCATTCACACCTAGGGCCAATTTAGAGTTACCAATCAGCCTAACATGCATGTTTTTGGTCTGTGGGAGGAAACCGGAGTACCCGGAGAAAACCCACGCATGCACGGAGAGAACATACAAACTCCAAACCAACGGGCCCCTGGACCAGTATTTGAACCAGGGACCTGCTGGCTGAGAGGCAGCAGCTCTATCAGTTGTGCCACTGTGCTGCCTACACCAAAAACACAAATTGTGAAACCCATTACAGGTGTAAAACACACACAAAAAATAAATAAATAAATGAAATACCTAATGGTAATGGCTAGGGAGTTTAATAAGGTGGCCACCACGGCTGCTCTTCACAGAGACAGGGGTTGAAAGGGAAGGAGACTCTCTGGACCACTTAACTGTTCACCTGAAGGAGGCAACCCAGCTGTAGGGGAAAAACCTGGAAGAGTGGGCAAAGAAACTGGGGGTGGCAGCCAACGACGAGGTGGCTGAGCCAACTCAACCGGGGCCCCCGGCAACACATGAGCCGGTTTCAAACGGTCCACTGAAACACTCTCTTGATTACCCCCCCAACTCCTCCAAAAAAATTTTAGGTCCCCTCTCCAAAACACAAAATGGACCATCGTAAGGAGGCTGAAGTGGTGAACGGTGTGTGTCATGGTGTATAAATACATACTCGGATGACATAAGGTCCTTCAGCACAAACGCCTGTGAAAGGCAGTGATGTGCTGCCAATGGGCCACAGATCTATTTTCCACTGTTAGAACCACCCTACTCCCTTTGGGAGCAACTGAACCTGCCAGACCAGGAAGAAACTCCCCTGGTAAATGGACTGCACTTATATAGCGCTTTTCTATCTTATCCAGATACTCAAAGCTCTTTACATTATAATCTGTGTCCTCATTTACCCATTCATACATATGTGGATGACACCTGGGTCAAAATCCAAGCTAAGGAAATAGAAGCGTTCACCAGACACGTTAACTCGGTCGATAACAACATCAAGTTCACCAGAGAGGATGCAAACGACAACAAGCTGCCTTTTTTGGACTGTTTGGTTCAGATGGAGAGAGAGGACAGCCTCAACATTGAAGTGTACAAGAAACCA